ATTTAAAATGAACTATACTGGTTTCTGTTCAATAAGTACGCTCATTTTATTTAAGAATTGCTGGAGTGCCAGGCACTATTTTGGGTTTGGAAACACACTAAAGAAGCAGACACAAAGCCCATGTCATCATGAAGCTTTAAGTACAGTGTGTCCAGCCAATGATAGTAAACAGATAATTAATGAGACAAACATAGATTACAATAAGCATGATAAAGGAAATGAGTGGAGGAATATCAGGAAAGCGCACTCTCAAGAGACATCTGAGCTGAGACCTGAAGGATGAGGAAGAGGCAACCATTCTGACATAAGGACAGAGCCAGCAGGCAGAGGCTCAATCACAGAAACAAGCCTACTATGTTACAGGAATCACAACCAGTATGACTGGTGAGCGGGGAGCTAGGTGACAGTGACAAGAGGTTAAGTCCAGCAGACAGACATGTGGTAGATCATATCAGACCACGGACAGAATATTTACTCTAAGAGCAATGGGAAGCAACTGAAGGGTCTGAGTAAGCCTGGAAAGGTTTACATTAAAGGATCTAATCTGCATCTGACAGAACAACCTAATTTACATTTACATCAAAAGAGCACTCAAGCTACTGTGTGAAGAATGGATCATAGAGGGAGAGTCTCCAGTTAGAAGGTTCCCGTCCAAAAGGAAAGCAGAATAAAGTTATGAGATGGCAGAAGTAGATGAACAGGGAGCGTATTTTGGAATCAGAGCCCTGCACTTGGTAACAGATTGGGTAAGGTGTGAGAATAGTTAAAAAAAGAAAGACAGGTAGAGAGAGAGAACCCAAGAATGTCTCGTAGAGCATTTATACACTGAAATAAAGTAAATTCACAGAACTATCATGGCACCTGTTGATTCAGAACCCTAAGTGTCACTGAGGAAGCAAAGGGGCTCCCAGCATCTAGCTTTTGGTAAGGGAACCCTAGCAGTACCAAAGTTACAGAGTGCTTGACCTGAAATGGGTGAAACAAAGCTCAGATCTGATTCCTTCCTATTTTTTCATCTTGAGCAAATCACCTCTTAAAATTTTTTAATTGGAATGCCAATACCACTTCACTGGATTGCTGAGAGGAACAAATGTCCTGGCAAGCAAGAGTGTTACTAAGAATCAGGTCAATCCCATTAACCCCTGCCCTCTGCTCCCTGCGGAACTCCACCTAGAGACGGTGGGATACCACCAATAACAACTCCCCTCAGCCTGATACACAACCTCATTCACAAAACAGTTTCTATTCAGAATTATGAACTAAGTTCTAAGTTCGATCACATGCTGAGAATTTTGGTCATTTTCCACAGCAGCAGTGTTAACATTTTATGATTGAAAAAGAATTTTTTTTTCTCATTAAGCTTTTAATGGGTCTCAAAATTCTGTGACAGATTTTTGGTTGTTTCCATTAAAAAGTACTGATTTTAAAAACTAATAACTTAAAACTGCCATATGCACAAAAAAACACAAATGGTCCGCAAAACACTCTTCTTTCCTTCTGGAGGTTTTAGGATGCATTGCTATCATTACCCATTTACTACTAAACGTAAATGGGCAATAGATACAAATAGTTCTGAGGCCATTCTTGCACCACTGAGTAAGACTGGGGTGGCATGAATGGGGGATCATATTCATTTAGCCTTCTGAGCTTTCTGGGCAGACTTGGTGACCTTGCCAGCTCCAGCTGTCTTCTTGTCCACTGCTTTGATGACACCCACAGCAACTGTCTGTCTCGTGTCATGAACAGCAAAACAGTCCAGAGGATGAGTCAGAGAAGCTCTCAACACACATAGGCTTGCCAGGAACCATATCAACGACGGCAGCATCACCAGATTTCAAGAACTTGGGACCATCTTCGGCTTTTTTCCGGAACGACAATCTATCTTCTCCTTCAGCTCAGCAAGCTTACAATCAATGTGAGCTGTGTGACAATCCAGCACAGATTTGGTCTGGATAGTTCAGGATAATCACCTGAGCCATGAAGCCAGCTGCTTCCATGGGTGGGTCATTTTTGCTGTCACCAGCCCCACTGCCACGCCGAACATCTTCGACAGATATGTTCTTGACACAGAAGCCCACGCTGTCTCCAGGAAGAGCCACACTCAAAGCCTCATGGTACATTTCAACAGACTTGACTTCTTTGTGAATTATAAGTTTGTGATTGCAACTGATCCTATAGCAACTAGTAAATCTACTTTGGTCCTACCCTCACAGTCCAAAAATGGCTCATTACAAAACATTTCCACTCCCTTCTAGGAATCAAAGTAAAATTTAGTAGTCATTGTGATGTTTTATTTTAAAATGTTAGGTGGAGTAAAACAAACAAACAAACAAACAAATAAACAAACAAAAAAACTGCATTACATGTTTGGTTATAGGTTTTACTTTCTTCAGGACAACATGAACTCAAACTGGGCAGCACCATACAGAGAATCCCCTCTGGCAGACAAGGCCTATGGCCAAAAGACAGCAGGATGAAAGCAGTATGGAAAGCCAAGCAGACTCCCAAATCTAGGTTTCAAGGGCACCAGCACTGCTCTAGCCAGACAATCTCAGCAGTCTGCAGAGCTTCAGGGCTGCTATGTTTCATCTAGTTCTGCTTCAATGCCATCATATCACAGATGACAGCAAAGTTAATTAAGAGCCTAAGTTCTAGCATCTGACAGATCTGAGTTCTCACCACAATTTACTGCCACTTACCAGCTTTGCCTCCTTATGTAAGTTCTTCAGCCCCTGGTTTCCCAATGTTGATGATGGGATTAATGATACCTACACCTCACTGGCTGTTTAATGACATCATGTATACAAAACATTTGATACAGTGCCTCACACATAGAGTCCATTATTACTGAGAAGTGGTCCATTAGTTTTTCTTTTCCCATTTTAGGTAATACACACTCCAAAAAAGTTGGGAAGTTACAAGGAAATTATAAAAAAAAAATTTACCCAACAACGCCTATAACTTCCAAGGCTATTAACCACAAATTTTAAAATTCCCCAGCATATCGTTTTTGCTAAGTCCAAATTGCTTTCAAAGAGGTCTATCAGTTCATACTTCCAAGCACCAAATATGAATGCAATCATTTCTGTACATTCAAAAATGGCTCATCTTTAATTTGTACGTACTCATGCTGAGAGGTACGGAAGAACTAAAGATGATTCCCAACCTCAAAATGATCACTGGGACTACAGAACAGACCCTGGAAAACTCTCCCTTGTCTTCCTGTCTCCAAGGGACTACCTGGAAAGTATCTGTGCCTATAGATATACAGGGAGCAGCCACGGAGCTGGGTGGGCTTTGCTGGGATTTCTCCTCTGCCCAGTTACACCAGAATCACCCCAGTTAAGCCTCAACAAGTTTCACAAGTGTTTCCTAACTACCGGGTAGATCTTCAATTATCCAAAATGTGAGGCCTTTGGGATAACCTTCCAGAAACTTCTTAAATGTAACTTCTTGATTTTCTCCCAAAGACTCCTCTGCCTTCAGGTTTTCAAGCCTCAAACCAGGTGCAGCTTCAACTCAGTATGCACAAAATTGGTAGCTTCATGCAAACCTGAGTATGTGTATATAAATAAGAAGAGGAATGTGTATACATGTAAGTATTACATGAAACATACCATGTAAATATAAAGGAAACATAATATATATAAACCAGTAAATCTCGTAATTTCCATGCAAAAGTAGAATGTTAGATCTGTATGTGATCTTGCATATCATCTCTAATCCAAACCTTTTTTAGTCAATAGACAAAATAAGGCCCAAAAGAATGTAAATATCTAGCTCCCAGAGCCAGCTCCCAACAGTCAGAGTCTGATCCCAGACCTATTTCTCAAAGTATCTTTTCCACTGCACTGCATTCCTTCTCTACCGAAATTTGAATAACTGTGTGGTGATGGAGCAATATCCCCACGGAATGTGGTTGTATTAAAACAGGCAATACCATTGCTTTCAAGACAAACCACCATTTATTTGCATTCCCTTTTAATGTATAGAGGCCTCATGGTAGTATCTGCTGGTGACATTCCTTTTACAAAGAAGAAACCGTCGTTCAAATAAACTAAGTAGTTTGTCTCCAGGCTTCGGGGACAGACAGGACCTTCATTTCCTAAATGAGTGATTTTTCTCAAGATATCCAACTCTCTGTATCTCAGTTTGGAGGTTAATAATATGGAATAACATCTAAACTCCCGGGGTTGATGTTAAGAATCGTACCCAGAGCGACAACCTGGTACATAGCAAACTCCCCATAATAAAAGGGGATGTTATTACTATTTTACAAATCACTGTCATAATAATGATATGCTTGGCAAACACAGGACTAGAACGCAATCTGCCTTCACTCTCTTGGTCCTCTCGACAACACAGGTTAGGGTATTTGAAGATAACCCTGGGTGAGGAAGAGCTGGGGGTGTACCTGAGTAGGCGAGTGCAGCCACAAACTACAAGGCAGGCGTCGCCCTGAGCTCAAGGTCACTCGGTGAATCAAAATTCCAAGAGAACTTTTCGTCCGTCACCGGGGACGCAGGCAGGGAGGTCCGAGAGGCAGAGGTTCTCCGGCCGCCGCCTGAGACCCAGCAAAAGAGCGACTCCCCAAGGACGTCAAGGGCCGGGTCGATGCCACCGATTCCGCGGACCCAGCTTAAAGCCTCTCTAAGCTCCGCGGCCTTGAGGACGGCGGCCGCAGAAAGAGACCTCCGCACGGCTCGCGCCGCGGGAACCAAGCAAGCCGACCTGCCGAACTCCGCCACCCTCTCCGGGAACTTCCGGTGACGTGACGTCACAGCAGCGCGAGCTACCCTCACATTTTATTGGTCAGTAACGCGGACCGCCCGCGCGGAGCGCACAGAACCACGCCGCGAGCCGCCACATCCAGTGTCTCCGCCTCCTAGCTCCGCCATCTCCATGGGGACCGCCACCCGGTCACCCATTTGGCCTCCGAGGCCGGAGTTGCGTCATTGTCTATGCGCCGGAAGCGATCGCTCCTGAGCCGGCGCCGGCTGACAACACCCGGCTGGGATCAGCGCGGGCGAAGTTAGACCTTCTCGGGCAAGTGTCGGCTGGCGAGGGCTACGGACCTCTGCCGGCCCCTGGGACAATGTCCGTGTTTCACGACGAAGTAGAGATCGAGGACTTCCAATATGACGAAGACTCGGAGGCATATTTTTACCCCTGCCCGTGTGGGGATAACTTCTGCATTACCAAGGTAACTTCAGAGTCCCGCCCGGCGGTTCGTCGGAGCAGACGCGTTTGCTCTTCCTCGTTCCTTCCGCGGTTCTGTTACCTTGCGGCTCACACGCCCTCTTTATCCTGTCTCTGAGTCCCCGTAAAGTTGATACTTTGATCTGTCAGTGGGCGCATCGTCCGGGCCTTTAGTCTGGCCGAGGGGTGGAGGGGGGGGTGGGAAAGGCTGGATGGCCGGAGCATGAGTCTTGCCCTCCTTCCCCATTTAGGGTCCCACTTGCTGGGATAGTTATTTGGAGGCAGGGTTACGTTGTTGTCATCTCAGGGGTTTGAGGCGACGAACCTTGGCTAACCTTCCTGGGTCAGGTCTGGTCTTTTTTTGAGAGAGGGAGTAGGGGCGGGGTGGGGGTGGGGTTACGGCATAGGAGCCGAGGTAGGAGAGAGAGAATCTTAAGCGGGCTCCAGGCCCAGCACGGAGCTGGGGTGGGGCTCGACCTCAGGACCCCCAGATCATGACCTGAGCTGAAATTAAGAGTTGGTTGCTTAACCGACTGAGCCACCAAGGAGCCCCTCTTCCTGGGTATTTTTAAGTACCGCTTGGCCGGAAGAACGGAGTTGGTATTTCTCTGGGCAGGCCTTTTTGTCCCTCACAGGCCTTTTAGGGAGGTGAGCCACAAAGGAGCTTGCCCCTAGGGGTGGAAGGAGTTTGGAAGGAGGAAATCGCAAAGGGAAGACAATACCAAACGTTTTTTTATTTTGTTTTAGGAAGATTTGGAGAATGGGGAAGACGTGGCAACCTGTCCTAGCTGCTCTCTTATTATAAAAGTGATTTATGACAAGGTAAGTAGTTGAATTTTAAAAGGTGTCAGGGAAGGTTGTGAGGCAAGGACCTAGAGCGATCTATCTGTAAGTGCTGGAGAATATTTCTTGACAGTGTGTTAGGTAAATGTTATGTTTTTTTTTTTTTTAAACAAATTTTATCCCCCCCCAAAAAAAACCAAAAAATTTTAAAAATATTACTAAATAGCTGTATTGTAAATCATAACTTGAAAAACTCAAATTAATTAACTCATTTTAGCTTTTGAGAAGGAAAGAAAACTGCACTGTAGTTAATGAAAATTGTTGATTACTTGTTAAATAGAAAAATAATATTTAATTGACAGTCTATTTCTCCTTTATTTAATAAGTAATTAAAATTGTCAGAGCTCCTATACTTATTTTGGAGGGAACAGTTGTATAGTATTTCTTACTTGGCTTCTACGTATAGAATTCCGCATTATCTTGTTTGAGGTATGTCATAGCTGCAATTTTACAATTTCATTTTGGCCTTTAATTTACTTACTGTTTTTCACTCAAAGATATTGACAGTAGAAAACAAATGTTCAATAAGAACAATAAGCCCATCTCTACCACAGCTTTTGGCCAGTATTTTGAATGGAGTCTTAAGTAAAAAGCTTTAACAGGATTTTTTCATTTTTCCTTTTTTTTTTTTTTAAATATGATTGACATATAATGGAGGTTAACATTCTTAAGGCTGAACCCTAATCTGAGTATAGGGAATGTAGCACCAGGCACTTAGTCTCATGTGACAAGCTTGCTATAATTTAGAAGTTTAAAGATTTATTCTTATATCAAAATGTGTTCTAGAACAAAAACAACAGGGTAAGGGAGATTAGGAGTGCTGGTAGGAGAAGAAGTTTCAATTTTAAATAGGGTGATCAGGGCAGGCCTTATTAAGAAAGGCCTTATCAAACGTAGATTGAAAGAGGTGAGGAAGTGAGCCCTGGGGGATAAAAAGCAGTCCAGCAAAGGGAACTTTGAGTGGACAGACCCTAAGGCAGGAACGTGTCTGATTTTATTGAGGAACATCAAGTGTGACCAGAGCAGAATAGATGAAAGTGAGAGAGTAGCCCAGGAGGAAAGTAGCAGAGTTGGGCAGATCACAAAGGTATTTGTGGGCCACTTTAAAGACTTTGACTTTTGCTGTGAATGACTTGGGGAACCATTGGAGGATTCTCAAGCAAGGGAGTGCTACAATCCAACTTAAGTTATAATAGAGTGACTTTGGCTGCTGTGTTCAGAGTAGACTGTGTGGAAGCAAGGATAGGAGTTAGGATATAGCAAAGGTAGCAATTAGGAGGCCCTTAGATAACCAGAGTTGGAGATGGATGGCTTGGACCAAGCTGTGGCACTGGAGGTGGTGAAAGGTGGTTGGATTCTGAATACACTTTAAAGGATAAGGATTATTTTTACTGATTGAATATAGAATATGAGAGGAATCAAAAATGATTTCAACATTTGTGGCCTTCATAACTGGAAGGATGCATTTACCATCAACTGATGGGGAAGTGTCTGCAGGCTTAGGGGCTAGAGTTAGGCATACTAAGTTTAGGAGGTCTTTTTTTGATCCAGTTGGAGAGCAAGTGAGAAAGCAACTGGATATGCAGGTCTACTGTTCAAAGAGAGAGATCAGCTAGTCCTGTAAATTTGGGAATTATCAGTATATAAATAGCATTTAGAGCCATGAGATTGGAAGAGATCACCAGGGCTGTGAATATAGGTAGAGATGGACAAAAGAAAGGACTGAGCTCTGCCATTCCCAATATTTAAAGGTCAGGGAAGAAAGTGGGGAATCAGCAAGCTGGCCAAAAAGGAAGGAGGAGGAAACCAGCTTCCAGGATATGGTAGAGGAAAGTGAACAACCTTATCAGATGCCACTGATAGATAACTGGAAATTAACCATTGGCTTTAACAGCTTTAACTGGGAGGCCATTTGTATGGTGGTAAGAGCAGTTTTGATGAAGTAATAGAGACGGAGCCTGATTGGTGGAAAGCTTACTGGAGAGAAGAAGAGAAGAATTTGAAGTAGCAAGCATAGATGTTTTTTTCAAGGAGTTTGCTGCAAAGGGGAGTAGAGACATGGGGCCTGTTGATAGAGGATCAGTAGAGGGTTTAAGGTGGTAGACATTCAGCTGTGTCGGTGAATATAGACACAGGAAGTTAGATTTAACCAGGTTGGTGGTTTTGTCAAGTAGCTAGGAGGGAGTGACAGAAGGATTGTGAGAATTGACCATGGACTTTAAACTGGGTCCAGAAGACACAGAGAGGAGCAGTGATGATATATGTCATGACATAAGAGTCAAAATTGGTGGGTTATAGGGAAGGAAGGAGAACAGTGGCTGAAAGGAGCAACCAGGCCCTCCTCCTGTCTCTGTGGTACCAGTACTCTGAGAGAACTCCCAGCCACTGGGGAGGTTGTAGGGGAAGCAGTGTCTTTAGGGGATGGCCTGTTCTCAGACTCAGCGTTATGGTCATTTGGGGCAGAATAACTCTCTGCTGTACAGAGCTGTCCAGTGCATTGTAGGGTGTTTAGTAGCATTCCTGGCCTCTACCATTAGACGCCAGTAGCAGTTCCCCAGAATGTCTCCAGATATTGCCACATGTCCCCTGGAGACAATATCAGCACACCCCTCCCACTACCTCTTGAGAACCACTGTGTTAGAGGCAGAAGGTGTGGGAATGTTTTAAGGAAGGGGTTGAGAATATGGAGCAATGTGCTGATTAACAGATCATAAATTCCAAAGAGGAAGTTGGGGTTGGGGAGGAGGCCTCAGGTGCTGGGCAGGAGTGAAAGCGTGGACACGATGTGGACTGACCCTGCTGGGGATCAGCCTACACGAAATGAGGGGTAAACTGGAAAGCACAGGTGTCTTGTGGTAGTAGACAGAAGCCAGGATACATAATCAGAGACTGAACTTCATTTACAACGTATATGACCCTGCAGGTTATCTGGTCAGGAAACAAAGAGCTACCCCTTTTAGTTGGAAGAAGTGAGTACCTTGAAGAGGATAGGTCTTCAAATGACTGAATAGTAAAGTGGAGAAGTTTTAGTGTAGTAATTAATACAGAAACTTAAGATGTGATATATCTTTACAAATAAGGCGTTTTAAGTGTGAATTCAGGGCTAAAAACTGAAAAGCACTTTTAAGATTATAATTCTGGTGCTGACGTGGATTCTTTGAATAAGGACAAAGTGGTGTAGCAATGAAAAATGAACAGACCTTCCGGGCCCATAGCTGGCTCAGTTGGAAGAGCATGCAACTCTTGCTCTCGGGCATGTGAGTTCTAGCCCTATGTTAGGTGTAGAGATGACTGAAAACTAAATAAACCTTGAAACAACAAAAAAAATTTTTTTAAACCTTAATAGCTAGATTGATTCTGCAACAAAACTAAAGTCAAATATTGATGCATTTATGATACACTCAGTAATTAATATAATTTCTTACTCTGTCTTAGGATCAATTTATGTGTGGAGAAACAGTGTCACCCCCTTCCACCCACAAGGAATTAGTTAAATGCTAAAGAGGACTTTAGGAATCTACATCCTGAACATTTGGGAATGAGCCAAGCTGGAAAAATCAAATGCAAAGTCACCGGCTTCCTTCATGGGAACAACTTCCATAGTTGGCTGTGCCATTAGCGTGTGGCTCCTTAACATTGGCTGCTGAGTTCATCTCCAATTAAAGAAGCAAGTCCATGACATGACATGCCTGGATTTTGTGCTTAGAACTTTGAATTGGAAATGTTCTCCATTTTCCATGTGAGTTTAAAGGAAGATCTTTTCAAATCAGTGCTTTCTTTCTCTCAGTATCATTTTTGTGTCTTACACCTGATTTCTTCCTTATCCGATAACAGCATCATCTACCTCAAAGTCATTAGGATTCCTTAATAAAAGGGGGGATTATATTTTTGGCTTAGTTATTAAGATTATTAGAATTAGCCCTTTCTTTGAAATTGGACATCCTCTTTGCCATTCTAAACTTAAGCAAATTTGTTGCTTTGTCCCACTGTGTTTTCAGGTCCCACACCAAGCCAGTCTGCTCAGTCTTGCATTCATAAGAACTCAGTTCCTGTTCTGCGTAGCATACCATTTCCATTGTACTTCCTGCATTCAGTTCTGGTCACGGTATTATAGAGAAAGTGTACTAAGCTCATAATTTTTCCAGAGCCCGAAGATAGAAAGTAAGGTCAAAAAGTGAAATGGTCAAGGAATTGAAAGTTTCCTTATCCATATTCTACATGTGCCTTGAAAATTGGGACAAGATAACAAGAAAAGCAGCCAAATGAACTGAAGTTGGAAGTAGAACAAAAAGAAAAATTTGCCAACTTAGTAAATTGAATGCTTCAGTGGCTTTGCCAGATCCGAGCAGACCATATTTGTGTGATCTGGGTCTTGTCTGTCACACTGTGTTTAGCTAAGGCTAATGACATGGTGTGAGAGAGGGCCCCCTGTCAAGGCTTCGTGGCTGGCAGCAGCGCTTTCGGCGTCCCCTCGGCATCGGGTCACTAGCCCTGAAACGTACAGCTGCTACAACAGCTCTTGCGGAGGATGAACCTGAAGATGAGATGCCTGTTCTAAATAAATGTGTCCCTAGGGACACATCTAACCAGTGTTTATAGGCTGTAACTGAACCAGACATCCACTCTTACAGAGAGATGTTGCCCTGGAAAAAAAACAGATTTATAAAGGCAGGCTATCAGTCCTCCTTTGCTGTGGATAATAGCAAGAAATTAGAATCACATGAAAATCCAAAGATGTCTTTCATATACACAACTTTGCAGTGTGTTTCTAAAATTTTAAAAAACAAAAAACAAACAAAACAACCTCACTGATGCTTGGCAGGTTGTTTTGGGAACAGCTCCTGCAATTAAAAAAAAAAAACAGCTTGCCAGAATGTGACCATTCTGACTGTTCTACTACTGGTTGATAAATGGGCTGCATTAGTCTAAGACCTAATAATTCACCAAAAATTGTATGTCAGAAGGACGGGGTACATTATGTATTATTATATGACATTCTTCATGGCATGAGAAGTCTCATGGCTATTTGGGGACATTGATGTCCCAGAATCCACCCGTGGATTAGAGCCAGTGGCAGCTCAGACGAAGAGAGCATGGTATATGTTACCTCGTGGGAATGAACTTCAAAGAGCAAAGAACTGTTCCATGCTCAATTTTGTTGGTTTTATAGATACCGGTAATACCAGCTCCTTTGGCTGATGATGAATTTAAAACAAACGGGCACCCTTGATGTGAATGTCGAAGGAATAAAAGTTGCCCCACTCCAAACATTCCAGTAGGAGTGAATTAAACTGCACTGGCAATCAGTGACCAGCGGTAATCCTGCAGTGATGGGAGTGAGTTCATTTCTAAAGCAACTGAGTTACTAAATTTGCTAACTACAAAAGAACTTTTCTGTTAAGCAGAAAGTAAAACCAAGGTCTTTCAGACACGACTAGAGTTCTGTGTGATATTCTGTGCCTTGTGCACCTTACCAGACATTTCAGACCACCTCTGAGAACTGATCTGTAATCCATGCTCTGTCTCTTGCTAACTTTGTAGTCTTTGGCAAGGCCAGTGGATTCGTCATCTCTCCAATTAGGAGACTAGATCAGGGGATTTTTAAACTGTCGGTATTATAACTTGCAGGAGCTGAAATGATAATTGAAACCTTTATAGACTCAAAACTAAATCATGAACTACTAGAGAAGGACAGTGCTTCTTTATAACTTGATGTCACCACACTTCTGAGTTTGCAAATAAAGTCAGCTATTTAAAGGATTCTGTGTATATTTTAGTGTGCACATTTGGAAGCAGTTTTCCTGGGAAGCACCCAACACTTTTGATTGCTGTACAAACTAATTTATTACCAGAATAAATTATTGACATACTAAATAAAGTCATAATTCAAATCAGTTTGTTTTCATGTGGTTTTCTTCCCCTAAATACCAACATCTTATATTAAAAATTTTGGGGGGCACCTGGGTGGCTCAGTGGGTTAAGCCTCTGCCTTCGGCTCAGGTCATGATCTTGGGGTCCTGGGATCTAGCCCTGTGTGGCTCTCTGCTGGGTGGGGAGCCTGCTTCCTCCTCTCTCTCTGCCTGCCTCTCTGCCTACTTGTGATCTCTCTCTCTGTCAAATAAATAAATAAAATCTTGAAAAAAAGAGTGCAAAAAATTTTGTTGTAATTTTGTATGAGGTAGAAGTCTTTTTAATCTGTTTTGGAAAATTGTAAGGAAGTTTCTGGTATGAACAGGTGAGTTTTGAAATGGTAAAGAAATTGCCACTGATTCTACAATTTGGCCACATGGGTTTTGATTCTGGATTTTTTTCCCCCCTGGGAAAAATCTGAGTCAAGTGGTGAAAAGAGTTGACATTCTTAGATGAGGAATTCAGTTTTTGCTGGAAAAGAAGGCTGCTATTCTATTTAAGGCTGAGGATCCATTCTTGCAGCAGTTTGAGAGCCCAGCTATGGTCAGAACACAGTTTGAACCTCAGTTCCTCCACTATGATCTTGGACAAGTTACTGAATCTTTTTGTATCTCTCTGTGCTTTTATGTGAAATGCAGATCATTGTAATATCTCTCCTATGGTTGCTCTGGATTCATTCATTAAGGAAGTGCTTATGGAGTCCCCACCACATGCCGGGCACTGGGTAGGGTCTCTGCATGCAAGTGGAAGAGAGGAAGTAAGATTAACACGCTGCTGTTAGGGCCCAGAAGGAAACACACTAGGTGATGGGAGCTGCGGCAGGCGCATTGATAAAGGGCAGGCAGAAGGTGTCTCAGGTCCCGTACTTTTTCCAAGATCTGAAGGGTAAGAAGGCTTGTGACAGTAAGATTAAGTGAGCTAAAAAACTAAGACATTTAGCACAATGACTGTCATATGTGCAAAATAAAGCTTAACTGCTAATCCAAAAGGAATTCAACATGGTTTTGAACATTGACAGCATTCTTAGACTGAATATGTGAAGTGCAAATTATTGGACACCCTTACTGAATCTGGGGTGGGTTTTAACAAGCACTGCAAGTGATTCCGATGCAGTTAACATTTGAGAACCATTGGTCGAGGACTGGTATTCAAACTTCAGCACATTGGAATCATCAGAGGAACTTGAAAAGTGATGCCTTAGAGAAACAGACTTGACTGGTCTGGATGCAACTTTGGCACCAGGATTTTTAGAGTCTCGGTGTTGATTCTAATATGCAGCCAAAGCTGAGAACCACTGGACAAGAGAAACAGAAAATTCATAATCACAGAGTATAGAGAATCCAATTTTTTCAAAATGGTCACACCTGCTTTGCCTGTGGAAAAGGACTGTGGGTTCGGTTGACCACACCTCCTATTCAAGTGCGCAGTGACAGCTTCTGCAGATGTAAGTAATTAGGATTACTCTAACTCCATTTGACGATGCCTGCCATTCCCTACTTCCTACAAAGCCAATTGCTCATGATTACATATTTGACTGGGAAGCCATTTTACAAATGATTCTTCGTTAAGGGTTTAAAACAAAAGATATATGAATAAGAAATAGTTAAAAAATACTCTCACCCCGCCACCAGCTCACAAAATGCTTAAAATGTGGGAGGTGTATCTAAGGAAGTCACGTGAGGGGCATTTGATGAAGGAAGGTGTTCAATTCAAAGTGGCTCCCAAATAGAGGTAAATGTCTAGTAAGGGATCAAGCATCCCAGTAAGTGGCACAGGGTCACAGAAGCCACTTCCGTGGGTCAGCACTTGGGACTGAGGCAAGTAGTTCCTATTTGAGACCTGATCATGGTAGCAGGGTTTAGTCACTAAGCAAAGATTTGGCAGCTGACTTCATTCTTAGAGGGGAACTGAGTTCCTGGATAGGGGCAAATGTGAACCTTTGGACAAAAATTGATGCCAAGATTGAGGGTGGAGAAGAGAGGGAAACAAACCCTTAACCCAAACCCACACCTATGTTCCATGCTCTTTCTGTAGGAACAGCACTCGCCATCCAGGGTTACCCAGAGGGCACTGGGTCCCAGTCTGCAATCCCAAATGGAAGAACCTGGAGTATTACTGTTCTGGCATGTATCTCTGAACTACCAAGTGGTGATAATGGCAAGAGGGAACCAGCCTGGACAAGGAATGTGGACCACTTAACGAGAGGAAATGAAATAATACATTAGTTAGAGTGCACATAGTAAGGGCTCAAGAAATATTTAATCTCACGTATTTCTTGCTCTGTTGGAAGTGACTCACGACTATGGGTCTGGGGAAGTTGCCTGAATTTACATGTTAAGACAACAGATTCGGTCATGATGTATAGGGGTCTGTCCAGAGACACCAAAGAACCATTAGTGAGAGAGAATGAGGGATTTGTTAAAGGATTAGACTACCCAGTTGTGAGAACTGGAGGCATCCAAGCAGGGCTGTTACCTCGGGAGTGAGCCTAAAGTAGCTATAAGTCAGCTAACGTGGTAGTTGGAAGAGAAAGCTTGATATGAACAAGAGAAAATGCAACCTGGAACCCACCTCTGTCTTTCACCACCTCCAACCTTGATGCTGTGGGTGACTTCAGGGGAAGCTGGTATCCTTCCTTGTGGAGTTGCATAGTTAGTCAGCCTAGAACAAGGCAAGCTAGTAGATCAACAACAATGTGTGTGAGCACCCACTGTTCCTGGTCCCGTGCTTCAACCATTAGAGCATAAAAAATATGTCTGCTGCTTTACAAG